AAGTACTTCACAAGATTTCACTGTGAAGTGAAGTTGTAAGCAAATACAGCAGCTCTATTTGCACACAGCAGTGTCCCACAAATGGGCATGAGTGAGTGAGTGAGTGAGTGAGTGAAGTGAGTGAGTGAGTGAGTCAGTGAGTGAGAATTGATCACAGGTATCAAATCTCTTCTTAACCATGGGATCAAAGCTCCTCAGCAAAATGAGCTGGGACAGCAACAATCTCGTTCCTAATGTGTACAAGAGTTACAGCACAGAATCGTCAATAATTTACAGCGTAAATAAATTATGGCTAATTTGCCAATCTCGCTCGGAATGGCCGGGCAAACAGGTAGCATGGGAGCAATCACAGCAATGCAGTAGCAATAGTCATGAGGTTTGGGTTGCTATATGTTGGTATAATAATGTAATAATAATAATCCTTGCATTTAATACAGCACTTTCCACGTCTTCCAGACGTCTCAAAGCGCTTCACAGAATATACTGTAAAGTGAATTGACTGTACATTCGTGCGCAAGATGTGGCAGCCAATTGCGGACAGCAGGGTTCCCACAAACAGTCGTAGATTGAAGTGACTAATTTATTATTATTTTCTTTTCTTGAGGGATTATTATCAGGCATGTAGAGCAAGGAAACTTGCCCAAGGTTTTGTCCTGCTGAGAATCGAACCCACTTGTGAAGTGAGTGCTCTAACCACTGAGCTACAGGACTCCACATTATTATTATTATATTATTATTATAAGACACTATATCAAATGCAAGGATTATTATTAGATTATTAATAGCAAATGATGGGAACTCACTGTGTCCATCCAAAACATGTCGTTACTGACCTAGACATCTCGAAGACGTGATAACAACAACAACCACTTGCATTTATATAGCATGCGGAGTAGCATCCTGGAGCGCTTATAATAATGTAAGGCGCTATATTATCACTCCATCAGAAATCTCCAACGGCTTCGAGAAAGACAACCTTTTACATAGACTATAGACTGTACAGCGCAGAACAGGCCATCCTGACTAACTCAATTAGTCCGTGCCGTTGTTTATATTCCACATGAGTCCATTAAATGCCCACCATTCTGTGTCATGAAGCTGTCATAATATTAATGTAACATTTTAATAACAGAGCTTCTCCTCGTGGTCTGGCTAACAAGCATTCTTTTACTTGGTGGCTGTTTTGTGGGACATCGCTGTGTGCAAACTTAGGATGTCCTCCTGACATGAAAAGTGCTTTACAAATGTAATTTTACATTGTATTGATATAGAATATCTTGTGAAGTGCTTCAGGAGATCCTCCCAGTGTGAAAGGTGTTGTATAAAAATAGAGAATTACAGACATATAATAAGAAAGGATTATTCTTATTCTTAGAATGAAGTTCTCAGTGTTCAAATGTTTGCCCTTACAAAGTTGACAGGGGATTTAATGAAAGTTTTTAATAATAAGGTGCTAAATAGAATTATAATACAATTTACATTTACACAGCACCTTTCCAAGCCAGGGAGGGGGGGAGGATGTCTCAAAGTGCTTGACACTGCTGGTTGGGCACCTGGGGGTGGGAGCTGAAGGGGGTGGGGATTGATGTCCGAATGCACAGTCAAAGGGATTGGCCTTGAATGAGGGGACGGAGGGAGCAATTAACAGGGACATTGCAGAGAGTGGTGGAAGAAGGTCCATCTGCAAACAGTGTGTTAATTGGGCAGGGGACTTAAAGCAGGTCAATGGCTGGTGAGCGAAGTGGGGGAGAGCATCAGAGCAATTGGATAAGGCCAAAGCTTGTTCCATTAGTCAGGGAATCACAGACAAGAGGGCCAAGTATTAGCATTATCAGCAGAAAAATTAATGGGAGAGGTGACAGGGAATTCCTTCTCTCAAAGCTATTGGGGGTTTGCCATTCATCACTGCAATTGGCTATTAAGACTGGATCAATAGGAATATTGCCCTCAGTAAGTCCATTGAGAGTCTCTCAGGCAAGCTTCCCACTTGTCCAGCAAGTACCACCCTACCTGTTAGGGTTATGGCTTGCAGAGTTAACAGGAGCTAACTGGGCAGAGTCCCTGCCTCCATTTACTGGTCTGTGCCCTGGAATACTACGGACCCGCCTGGCTCAGGAAATGGACTACCCAAAGCTCCACAGAGGGCTGGCTTGAATCTCACAATCCATTGCCAAACATGTCATCTTGGAGCCGGTTTAATACAAGGAGGTCTTGCTTATCTCGCCAGCTGGTCTGGGTAGGAAGTGACTGGTAACCGAGGGAACATGTAGGCTGAAAGCAAACTTGCTTTCTGGTCAGATGCTTAATAACGGAGGTTGGTCTACAATCTGTACCTGTAGACCTGTGTGGTGACGTTATGATATTGAGATGCTCTGTGGAGCTCAGTCCTTTCAAGGCTGATTTGGAAACCATAATTCTAAAAGAGGTCAATTTTTGGGGGAAGTGCCAAGACAACAATAACAACTTGAATTTTTAAAGGGTCTTTCATATGGGGTGATGTCTCGGAGAGCAGAACAATGGCATAGTTTGATGGTGACCTGGTGCAAAGACATAAGGCACATTCGAAAAGGAAAGTTTTCAGCTGTCATCTGAAGATGGGCAAAGGGGGGAAGGGATTGAGACCGGGAGTTCCAGGGGTATGGGGCGTAGTGGCTAAAGGTAAGGTCGCCAATGGTGGAGCGTAGGGAGTGAGGGATGTGTAGAAGGCCCGAGGTGGCTGAGCGAAGGGGGAGGGTAGAGGAATGGGGTGTGAACAGGTTGGAGAGTAGGGAGGTAAGGAAAGTAACACGTTCTACTCTCAGGGGGGGCCTGAAATCCATTTCAATTTACCAGAACAACAATCGAACCTGAATCAGGAACTTGGTCTTAACAAATCTGCCAATATTAATTACGGAGTAATTAAGGGAAAAAGTAATAAAGATTTTTTTTTTATCGGCTTCATAAATAATGGGTTACAGATCCATTAAACAATAGGTGTTGGTCGTAAAAGGCTATTTTATGCACTTTTTCCGAAAACATTGATCACAAGATTGGTTTGGATGATGAAGGCCCTTTGACTCCAGAACAACTTGCACTTATATCGCGCCCTTCATGCAGGGTCTCAGACAGTGGCGGAGCCGGACTCCGAACCGGGGGGAAGTGGGGGGAAGATGCCCGTAAGCATGGTCGAAAAGTGAAGGTTTTCAGGCATGACTTGAAAAAGGGGAGAGAGGGGGCAAGGCAGAGGGATTGAGGGAGAGAGTTCCAGAGTGAAGGGCATTATATAAATGCAAGTTGTTGTTGTCATTGTCTTGTTCTACTCTCCTGGTACATCCTAAACTATTGTTCTGGATTTGCTATCTCAATCTCATTTAAAATAGTCTTAACCTGTATACGGTCCCCTATGTGACATCGCCTTTAAAGACTGAAGAGCCCCAGTTTGTCTAATTGTTCCTCATAGCTCAATCCTCTAACACTGGAGATTATTGGTCTGACACTGGGGATTATCTAAACTCTGCAACCTTCTTCAAACCTATTGAACGCAGGCCGCACCCTTCGCTCGGCAAACACTGGACAGCTTTGTGTGGCCGATTCATCTGCCCCACCATTAGCGAGTGAGATTTTAGCTGTTCAGCCCCAGCTCTCTGGAACTCCATCCCAGACTCCCTCCGACTCACTCCCACTCTGCCCTCGTTCAAGCCCCGTCTCAAGATGTATCACTTTGACTGTGTATTCGTTCATCTTTCCCCTCCTCACCCCATTCGGCTCAGGTGCCCTGTAAACAGTGTCAGGTGCTTTAAGACGTCCTCTCGACACTGTATAAATGTAAATTGTTTCATATTATCCTTCTTGCTGCCCTCTGCATCCCCTCTAGGGTCTGAGCTGCTGCTCTTATGTAACCGGTAACCAGAACTGTATTATTATTAATATAATTATATTATAATATAATAATGGTAATATAATAATATTTTTATTATTATAATTACCGGACGGACACATGTGGCAGTATAAAACAAGCAGAGTTCCTATAAACGTCGGTGCAACTGGGACTGCTGATAAGACTATTCCGGAATGGCTTGACAAAATGTTTGGTGAGCAAAATATCAACCTCCTGCAAAAAATAGCTATTTTAGGAAGTTCAAAGTTATTAAGAAAAGTCTCATTCATTCATATGTAACGTGGCAGTGTTGTTGGTCTGGCTGATCCATCACTGAAAACCACTTAGAAACTACCTCTACGGAGCGATTTAAACTGTAAAAGCATAATAATAATAATAATAATAATAATAATAATCCTTGCATTTGATTTAGCGCCTAATCACATTGTTGAGACGACTCAAAGCGTTTCACAGGATATACTGCAAAGTGGATTGACTGCGTATTTTGTGGGTGAAATGCGACAGCCGTTTGCGCATACCAGACTAAATTGAAGCCAGTGATTGAGGTGGACTTTATGGGTTCTCAGGGAGAATATAATAGCTCAGCGAGTTGTCTTACAGGGTCCTGGCTGGTGGAATCCCTCCACACTACTCTCAAAACCAATCAGCTAGCCTGGAGAGAGTGGACAGGATAGTATGGAGGGGGACCAAGGCCATGGAGGGCTTTGAAAATAAGGACGAGGATTTTGAACTATATCCTCTGGGGCATGGGGAGCCTCTAGAGCCAAGTGAGGGAGGGGTGATAGGATCACGGAGCCTGATGAGGGAGAGGACAGGAGCTGCAGAGTCCTGAATAATCCTTGAAGACGTTGAACGCAAATGTTATTTGTGGTGTAAACGTCATGAAGTCAACATTGGGGGCCACTCCACAGTGAAGCTTTAGGGTGGAGTCCTGGTGTGTCTGTAACACACGCCCTTTGTGTAGAGGACAGTACGTACACATGCCCGTTTCATTGAACCCTTTCCTCAGAAGGGCTTTACACATTTCATGTGCTTCTACTCTGTGCGCGCCTGCTGTCTGCAAAGCATGAAAGAAACTCCTTAGTGATACAAGCTGATGGCCCACATGTCAATTCTCTTGCAGGATTATACAATCACCATGTATTTCCAGCAGTACTGGAGGGACAAGAGGCTGGCTTATTCAGGCATTCCTCTCAACCTGACGCTGGACAATCGAGTGGCTGATCAGCTCTGGGTCCCCGACACCTATTTCCTGAACGACAAGAAGTCCTTTGTGCACGGAGTGACGGTGAAGAACAGGATGATCCGACTTCATCCGGATGGAACGGTGCTGTACGGGCTGAGGTTGGTGCCTTTGGTTAGGTGGCTACACGAGTATAGTGTACTCTGCAGTGGGATGTCCTCCTGACGTGAAAGGCACTGTACAAATGTAATTTTGATATTGTTGTTGTATAGTGATGTTGATCAGGTCCTGACTGCCTGCTCAGGGAACGTTACTGATCCCGTAGCTCACACTCAGCTACAAATCAGTTCACGCCCTGGCACCTCCCTACAACAACAACAAATTGCATTTATATAGCATCTTTCACGTCACAAGGATGTCCAAAGGCTCTCTCTACTCCCAATATGTGGAGACAGAGGTAGATTTTTTTTGAGTAAGTTAATAATAATAAATATTTCGTTCTTAAAATATATAGTCCATTCACTTTACAATATATCCTGTGAAGCCCTTTGAGGCATCTCAATGACGTGATAAGACGCTATATCAAATCCAAGGGTTATTATTATTCAAATAGTGTAAATATGAAACACTGTGAATGTCACCAACAAGATAGGTGATCAGAGCCAGGGGTGACCTGCAAACCGAGCAGTGAAACTAACACCAAGGAAGCAACAAATAGAGGTAAAAGGAGAGGAAGAGAGTTTTTATCATTTACTGATCCTGGGGATAAAATGTATTTTTTTTGTACAGAACATTACAGCACAGAAACAACTAACCCCACTTCATATTCAGGGAATAGAAGGATGGTGGAGAGGGGAATAGGAGAGGTGGCGAACTCATATTCTTCTCAATTCTACCCTTCTATTTCCTTCACACTCATATATGCATCAGGTTCTCTCTCAAATATATTTGTTCAAGCACAGCCTCCAGCAGTGAGTTCTACATTCTCACTACCCTTTGTGTGATGATATTCTTCCTATACTCCCTGTTAGATCTATTACTGGATCTCTAATATGGGGTGACCAAAAAATCTTGATGTCTACCCTATTAAATTTAAAAAAAAATCATCATATCATCATTTCTTTAAGACTTATTAGAGATTATAAGGATATCACGATTTTTTGATCACCCTGTACATGTGGCCCTTGGGTTTGGACTCACAAACAGGTGGAAACATTCTATAAGCATCCACTTTATAAAACTGCGTCGTCACCTTAAGCACCTCAATCCTCTCTGCTTGTCCCCTCCGAACCCAAGTACTTGCTATTATTAAAAACAACGACATCTTGTATTTATATAGCGCCCTTCATGTGGTGATGTGTCTCGGAGCATTTAACAGTCTCAGAGCCTGATGCCGAGCTGGGGGAGGCAGGAAGACGTTACCTATCAGCACGGTTGAAGAAGAAGGTCCTCAGTCGTTATCTGAAAGAGGGGAAGGAGGGAGCAAGATGGAGGGATTAGGGGAGGGAGTTTCAGAGCTTCAGGGTGTAGTGACTGAAAGTGCGGCTGCCGATGGTGAAGCGGGGGAGATGAGGGACAAGCAGGAGGCCATAACCCGAAGAACCTTGGGCAGAAACCCAAATTCTTGCAGGAAACATGTGTGAAGTTCTGTTCTTTTGCAATTTCCCCTGTGGTGTCGTGGATCAGACTTTATCTGGATTTGCCGTGTGCTGTGTCTCTGCATAAGAAAAGCCCTGCAGTGACTGTCAATTAAAAGCAGGGAGGGAAGCAGTAACACAGGGAGTATTTGCAGTCTAACCCACCCCTCTCGCCTTCCTCACCCCCTCCATCAAAATATATCATTGCAAAAATAATTGAGAATTCATTTTTTTCTACTTGAAAATTCGTGCCGTTTGCGGAAGAGTGGCTTAACCCTTTCCGACCTAGCGACCGTCTAACACACGAACAAAACACATTTTTTGGGCTGTTTGTGGGATGTCGCTGTGTCAAGTTGGCTGCTGCGCTCGTCCACAAAACACCCAGTCACTCCACTTAACAGTGAATCCCGTGAAGGGCTTTGAAATGCCCTCCCCACATGAAAGGCACTGCAGCAAATGCGAAGATCATTACTTTTCATTATCTTTAACAACCTTTCACACACAAGACAATGAACCCCCATCTCCATTATATTTGGTCAGTCCAGTGTTTGACACATGTGGAAACCCATCACCATCACCATAAGAGCATCAAACATCAGGACTTTTAACTCACAGTCAAAATTCAAATGAAAGAAATGTTACCATTCTTAGAACAACCCCCCAAGTTGATTACCCTTTGAGTAAACGTTCAGACGTTTAACGGGGCAGTAGTTCACTGAAACACTACTCAGCTGCTGTCAATATTGTTGCTTTGCTGAGCTTCCCTGAGCGATGCTGTGATCACATAATGATGAACGATGAGGTTCAGGGAGGGCATGAATCATAGAATCGCAGAGATTACAGCACAGCTGGAGGCCATTGAGCCCATTGAGCCTGTGCTGGTGCTCGCTCCTCCATGGAGCCAACCACTCCAAACCCAATTCCCTGCGCTCTTTCCCTGTGAGATTGTCTTCAAACATAATTAATTTTACCTAATTAGATTTGTCTTTTTTAAAAAAAATCAAATTAAAATAAGCTCTGCCTAATGGATTCATAGTGGGACCGACTTCGTGAATGTAGAGGTAGATTTTGTGAGATGCTGAATTCAATGGAAAGATCTGCTCTCTCCCCAATTCGATGAGAAACCCTCAATAGGTTTGATCGCTTATACGCAGCGAAGCTTCAGTCACAGCCCGTGTATTTTTTGACTCAAACAGATTTTTTTCCCTTTAATTATTTATCAATCGGAAAATAATAACTGACTGCAGTTGTCAAAGCTCCGTGATGTAATTGGACATAGCATCCCTGCATGCCGACTGCACATATACCTCTCAGTAGCTGAGTCTGTAATAATACTAATGTAATAATCCTTGCATTTGATCTAGTGCCTTTCATGTCAAGAAGACGTCTCAAAATGTTTCATGGGATTTATAATAATATCTATTAATATAATAATCCTCGCATTTGATATAGCGCCCGATCACGTCATTGAGATGTTTCAAAGCGCTTCACAGGATATTCCGTGAAGTGGACTTACTGTGTATTTTGTGGGCGAAATACAGCAGCCAGTTTGCACGTAGCAATGTCCCATAAACAGTCATGAAGTGAATGGCCCATTTTATCTGGGGGGATTGTTGGTCAGAAACTCCTTTCTGCTTTTTAATAGTGCCACTTTAACGCTCACCTGAACAGCCAGACGGGGCCCTGGTTTGTAAGTATCATCCACAGGACGGTACCATTGACAATGCATCGCTTCCCCCAGCATTTCATTGGCGTTTCAGCCAAGACGAATTCCGAGCCTGACCTGAGGCTTGAACCTACTACCTTCTGACTCAGAGGGCCTGGACAACAATATTGACATCTTTGCACTCACTGAAGCTCCTTCCCCTTCGCTGAGGCAAGCCCATTCATATATAGTGTGGAATCCTGTAGCTCAGTGGTTAAAGCACTCGCCTCACAAGAATGGGCCGATTCCTAGCAGGGTGAAATGTTGGGCAAGTTTCCTTACTCCACGCGCCTCTGTTTACTTAACAGGCAGCAGGAACCCAGTTGTTAGTCGATTGGCAGGTCACTTTTCTGGGGGTAATAATTAAAAAAATAATAATAATTTGGTCACTCAATCCACGACTGTTTGTGGGACACTGCCGTGCTCAATTGGTTGCCGCGTTTCGCCCACAAAACATACAATCAGTTCACTTTACAGTATAAATGTAAATTTCTATTGCAATTTGTACTGGTGTGATAATTAGCACATCAAACACACTGCAAAATGCCACACATTTCACCCCATAAAGGATCAATGAATGAGGTAGCATTACCATGGGCTCTGTTCACTCAGGGAGCACTAGCTTGTTTCATGACCCCCATCCTATCCACCCCATAATTGGCGGTCAGCTTTCAGCCTTTTTGCCCCACTCTCTGGAACTCCATCTCAAAGTCCCTCCAACTTGCTGCCTCCCCCACCTCGTTACAGGTCCTACCTCTTTGTAAAAGGTAGGTCCCAAGAACAATCTCAGGACCTACATCTTTGACTGCTTTTTTGGTCATCTTTCACCTCCGCACCCTCCCTCTCAGCTCCCACTCCCAGCTCTGGCACCCTGCCAGAAATGTTAAGCACTTTGGGACATCCTCCCAAGATAAAAGATGCTATATAAATGTAGAGTAAATAAATGCAACTGCACGCTGGTAATGCTATATAAATGCACGTTGTTGTTGTAATGGACCGAATGGCCTGTGCTGTAATTTGTGTGATTCTCTCCTAAGTCTGAATGAACTTTATAGTTTTAGATTTAAAGGTCTGTTTATAATTTTTGTGCTGAGATATTGACCAGCTTGGGCTGCTGCACCTGAGAGGTGTGACGTTAGCTGAGGACAATCGATACAGGTTTCTGCAGGCTTCACTGAGTCTCTCATCAACAGAGTTTAGTGCCTGTTGTTGCTGACCATTTTATTTGCAAAATGAAAAGTGGCTTCAAATTGGCTGCTGCGTTTCGCCCACAAAACATACAGTCAATTCCCTTTACAGTTTATTCTGTGAAATGCTTTGAGATGTCTCGAAGACGCGACAGGGCACTGAATCAAATGCAAGGATTATTTATAGTATTAAAGTCCTTGCTTTTGACATAGCGCCTTTCACATTGGGTGAATGTGCTTCAAAGTGCTTCATATGAATTATTCACACAAAATACTTTTCAGCGCCTTGAGGCGTTCTCCTGATGTGAAAGCCGCTACACAAATATGATTTGTTGTCATTGAAAAGTGTAGTAACTGTGAAAACATGGGATTTAACCTCTTTCTGCACGTGAAAGCTGCAATATAAATATAAGTTAATTGTAAGCACAATAGCCAAATTACGCACATCCCACAAACAGCCATGTCCAAACAGAATGTCCAATTTTATCCGGGGTGGGGGTTTGAAGAGAGTGTGAGGGAGGATTGTTTGATAGGACATTGAGAAAAACTCCTTTCTCTTTTTTTGAACAGTGCCATGGGATATTTAAAGTCCACCTGAACAGGCAGACAGGAACTCGGGTTAATGTCTAGTCCAAAGTATGGCATCTCCGACAATGTAGTGCTCCCACAACACTGCACTGGAGTGTCAACCTAGTCAAGTCCTGACGTGAGGCTTGAACTCACAACCTTCGGACTCAGAGACGAGAGTCCTGCCAACTGAGCCAGGTTAACGCCGAATAGGAGCCAGGGAAGCACAGGAACCGAAGGACGACTATTGCACATTAATCATAATAATAGTGACAAACTTTTCACTGCACCTTTTTGGTTTGGTCAGCCGGGTGTCTGACAGATGTGGAAACCCATCACCGTACTTAAGAGTATCCAAACCAAGCTGAGAATTCCATGCATCCCACCTACACATGGAAATCCCAGAGATGGACTGCTGGAATGAAATGCGCTCTTTCTCCCTGGAGGGACACATCCTGCTTAAGTATTAGGTGCAGGTTGGCAAGAGCCAAGGCTTGGGGTCTCCAGAGTGTGCGTTGGGGGAACTGCTGGAGTCTAACCAGCTAAAACCACATAGCTTGTCATTGAGAATGCTGTCTGGCCAAGCTTCCTGTCCAGCTTGGACCACCTTACCCATTGGGCTTTGGCTTGCGGGGTTAACCTGGGATGAGTGGGAAGAATCCAAACTCCCAGTTTCAACATTACAGATAAGGAACCAGCCTGCCTCAGTTGATAGTATTCTCTTCTCTGAGTCAGCTTGTGGTTTCAAGCCCTACGTCAGGACTTTGAACTGGTATGTTCTAGTCTGATGCTGTGGTGCAGTGCTGGGGATGTGCTGCATTGTACAAGGTGCCATGCTTTTGGATGAGACGTTAAACTGAAATACACGTCTGCCTGTTCAGGTGCACGTTAAATCTCCCATTCCATTACCCGAAGAAGGTGTTTCTTGGCCAACAATCCCTCAGATAAAATTGGTCCTCCAATTCATGGCTGCTTGTGGGTCATCGCTGTGTGCAAATTAATGCTGGGTTCATGTACAAACTACATTTTACAGCATATATCTTCTTGAAGTGAAACTCGCTATATTACATGAAAGAATTCTTATCATTATAACCTGTCAATACTCACAGCCTTGGCTCACAGTACTACTAATGACTGCTCAAGGTTTTCATTGTTCATCGTATTTCATTGTAAAGGCAAATTGTGGTTGCTTGGTGGAACGAGCCTTTTGAGGTATTCCTCAATAGGAATGAGTGAGTGGAGGGGGAGAGAGAGAGAAAAAGAGAGAGGGGGAGAGAAGATGCCTTATTGTTTCAGCAAAAATGGGGAGACAAATTGCTAAGATTAAAACAACACACACACACACACGCACGCGGGAAAAACATCAGGAATTGAGAGCAGCCGCCATAGTGATGTGTGTTCTCTTATATTGTCATTTTTTTTTGCTTTGCTTTGATGCAGAATCACAACAACAGCTGCCTGTATGATGGATCTGCGGAGATATCCATTGGATGAACAGAACTGTACGCTGGAAATAGAAAGCTGTGAGTATTCTCTGGAGGAGCATCTGCCCTGGAGCCAAATATTCAGACTCGTTGCAGTTATTTATAGCAGGCAATCAGATCTGCCCGCCAACACTCCCCCGCCCCCTCCTCTCCCCGTAAAAAAACATGCGCACAATACCTCTGTTTACGTGAGTTAATGATTAAATTTACCGTTCATCAATACCTTGTTTCCTTTTACAATTTTTCATTTAATCTCCACCCCTACCCACCCCCCTCCACTCCACTCCATCGCCCCCGCCTCCACTTTAAATGCTTTGTGGTTTCAGTTGGATTCGGTAGCACACAGGACAAAAGAACTCACATTTTAATCAGATCTCAGGCTGATTGAAGCGAGTGCTTAGGCTGCTGCTTGCTTGCATGTGCTTCATTATGCATGGCCGCTATCGCTGTTACCTCTGGCAACCCACGCCCCCCACCCCGCACCCCCCCCCCACATACACACACATCACAACCCCCCCACTCCCTCCCCCCTACCCCAGCCGTTTGACTTGATTAGGAGAAGTTCAAGCTGAATACAGTAGATAGATCGGCAGCAATGTACCACACAGCAATTCAATCCACTTGTATTAATGTGAGCGCCTGCTGTTTCCAACTAAGGCATGTTTCCTAATCCCAATTCCTTCCACCTTCCCCCGACCTTCGAATCCTCCTCCTCGGAGCATTCATATCTGTTTCCACTTTAAATGTTGTTTCCTTTCCCTCCCAATCGTCTTCAACCGAACAGCCACCCCCAGGCAATTCATTCCATATTCTGATAACTCCCAGGAAGCAAAGATATCTTGCTACTTTCCCCTTTAATGTCTTGGCTCTAATCTAAAATTCACGTCCCTCGAGTCTCCACATCACCTACCGAGTGGCAGTAACTCCTCACCTTTGATGCTCTCCAAATCCTTTCATTATCCTGAACTGTGATTTCTGGTGTGCCAGCCTGACTCAGTTGGTAGCTCTCTCGCCCCTCAGTCAGCAGGTTAGGAGTACAAGCTCCACGTAGGGGCTTTCGACTCGCACAGTTTACAACAACAACAACAACAAATTGTATTTACTTAGCGCCTTTCACGTTGGGAGGACCTCCCAAGGCGCTGGAATGTCTGGGCTGACATTGTGATGCAGTGTTTGGGAGCAGCGCTGCATTGTCGGAGGTGCCGTCCTTCAGTTTATAAAACGTTTATAATAATTTACAAACAAAGAAACAAACACATTGAATTCATACAGTGCCTTTTACGTCGAGAGGACGTCCCAAGGGGCTGAACAAAGAATTAATAGACTAGAATCAGCCCACTCGACCCAAAGAGAATACTTCAATAATCGTAAGACATTCTCTCGGTGTCCTGCCCGACGATCCACTGCGTAATATCAGTCACGGCTGTTAGTGGGACGTTGCTGTGTGCAAAATGGGCTGCTGCCAGACGAAATACATGGTCGCTTACACATTGCAGTAAAAATCCTGTGCAGTGCTTCAACGATGTAATATGCCGCTATATCAAATGCAATGCAGATTGTTATTATTATAAAAGAAAGAAGGAATACACAACAACACCAGTTCGCGTTTCTATGATAATAATCCTTGCATTTGATGTAGCGCCGTATCAGGTCGTTGAGATGTCTCAAAGCGCTTCACACTGTAAAGTTTAGTGACTGTGTATTTTGTGGGTGAAATATAGCACCCTTCCCGTAGGATAGCGTAGGATATACTAGTCTTCAAAGGTGCCCATTGGTAGTTCTATGTGCAACCCCCTCTACTAGAACTGGTCCTGTAGCTCAGTGGTTCGAGCACTTGCCTTGCAAGCGAGAGGACATGGGTTCGATTCCCGGGCAGGGTGAAACGTTGGGTAAGTTTCCTTGCTCCACGCATCTCTGTTGTCACCCACCAGAAAGTAGCGACCCATTTGTTAGTCGCTTGGCGGGTGGCTTTTCCGAGGGTAATAATCTCTTCAAAAAAAAAACATTTTTTTTTAAAAAATAGTAATTTGGTCACTCAAACCACGACTGTTTGTGGGACGCTGCTGTGCACAATTGGCTGCCGCGTTTCGCCCACAGGAATATGTAGTCACTTCACTTTACAGTATATTCTGCGAAGCGCTTTGAGACGTCTCAACGACGTAAAAAGGCGCTCTAACAAATGCAAGGATTGTTATTATTGTTATATTATTATTATAGCTGTGCTTCTGACTTTCAGATGGTTACACAACAGATGACATTGAGTTCTACTGGAGAGGAGGTGACGATGCTGTAACAGGGGTGCATAAGATCGAGTTGCCGCAGTTCTCGATTGTGGAGTATAGACTGGTTTCCAAAAATGTCGTCTTTGCAACAGGTAGGCCTGCCTAAACGATTTCTTCCCAAAACGTTTCAGTCCTCGCAACAGAGCAGGAGTCAGCCTGGCTCAGGTGGTTGTCCTCTGGCTTCTGAGTCAAAACGTTGCGGGTTCAAGCCCCATGGTGCTATTCGAAAAGGCAAGGGGGTTTCTCCCAGTGTCCTGGCTAACAATCTTCCAAATGAATAAAATCAGTAATTTCATCACTGTTTGTGCAAATTGGTTGCCACATTTGGCTACAAAATACATATTCGCTGCACTTTACAGTAAACCCTGTGAAGTACTTTGAGACATCCTCCTGATCTGAAAGGAGCTGCAGTAAATGTAAGGATTATAATGACATTATAATAAAATCCCATAATAATAAATAATCCAAAGCACTACCCTGTGTGAAGGAAGCTATATAAATGCAAGTTTTTGTTTGCGTGATATGCATTATGCCTCAGAGAGCTTGATAGGGTATGCACATAGGCCAATAACTGGCAAATTAACTTTACAGTACGTTACAAAATTACATTTGTAAAGCGCCTTTCACGTGGGGAGGATTTCACAAAGCGTTGAGCAGTGAGTGATTAGGATCCGGGTGGTGGGGTTGGGATCAGGGAAGGTAGTGGTCGAAGAGGAGGGTCCTGAGGTGCCTTGAAGGAGGCAAGGGAGGAAGCGAGGTGAAGGGAATGTGTGACGGAGTTCCAGATGGTGGGGGCAGAGTGGCTGAGGGCCCGACCATCCATATGAGGGCGGCTGGGCAGGGGACATGGAGCAACACAGCCTGCTGAGCAGAGGGAGTGGACAGGTTGATAAGGGATTAGCAGGTCAGAGAGATAGTGTGGAGTGCAAGTCCATGGAGGGCCTTGAAGGTGATGATGAGAATTTTGAACTCGATCCTCTGAGGAATGGGGAGCCAGTGGAGCCGGGCGAGGATGGGGGTGATGGGGTCACGGAGCCTGGTGTGGGAGAGGACACGAGCTGCAGAGTTTGGATGATCTGCAGCTTGTGGAGGGAACAGCTGGGAAGGCCAACAAGGAGGGAGTTGGCATAGACATAACAAAATAATAATAATAATAATCCTTGCATTTGGTATAACGCCTTATCACGTCTTCGAGACGTCTCAAAGTGCTTCACAGAATATACTGTAAAGTGAATTGACTGCACGTTTTGTGGATGAAACGCGGCAGCCAAATTGCGCACAGCAGCGTCCCACAAACAGTCGTGGATTGAAGTGACCAATTTACTTTTTTTTTGGAAGGAATTATTTTGAACGGGGTTTGAAGGTTGCCAGGAAGGGTGGTCGAAGCCAGGATGCATTTAAAAAGCAGCTTGATGCAGTGATGGGGGAATGTTATGGATTGTTTTCTGGAAGATGAGATTGGATGGACCGAAGGGCCTTCTTCATCCAGACCAATCTTGTGATCTTGTGAATTTATGATCATCTACAAATCCAAATAGTGCTGGGGTTTGTCAGAGTGACTTGTCTAAAATAGAAGGGAATTTCTCCCGGTATCCTGGGCGACAATCCCCCCAGATAAAATTGAATATTCACTTTGTACCAGTTTGAGGAATTTTGCTGTGCTCAAATTGGCTGCCGTGTTTGCCAACAAAACACACAGTCAGTCAGTACACTTTACAGTAAACACTGTGCAGTGCTTTGAGGCATCCACCCATGGTGATAGATGCTCTATCAAATGGAAGGTATTATCAGATTATTTTAAGAAAGTTAGGGGAAGGAAAATGGGATTAAGGCTACAAAATGTACAGCTGCCAATTCCTAACAGCGGTGATTTTAGTCCGAAGGTTTGCTAACAGTTTGTTACTGTGCACTGGAATGGCTGAAGCGTGAAGAGTGTGTGCCAGCCCACACTCCTTCTGTAATAAGAATGATCCATTGCATCTGGTGTACTGCCTTTAATCTTGAGCAGGTCTCAGAGCGATGCCCGATGTTTCTGCGAAAGTGTAGCATCTTGTATTTGCAGATGAACGCAGCAGTTAGTGTTGCTCACAGCAATGTCCCACGACCAATATCAACCGAGTGACCAATTTTATCTGGGGGTTTGTTGGCCAGGACACCGAGAGAAACTCCCTTCTCTTTTTGAATCGAGCCATGGAATCTTTAACGTCCACCTGGACAGACACAGACAGGACTTTGATTTAACATCTCATCTGAAGGATGGCTGTATGCTAGCGGGAGCACTGAACAAACTGGATTTCTGTTTGCTTACTACCTTGTCACATATAATTAGGCTCAAGATTCTCTTTTTTTCGAGCGCTTACCTGGAGTTTTTATTTTGGCATAAAAATCCTGAGAGTCATTTGTATCCAAAGGAAATAACCAAGATATTTTTTTCAAATACCAGCTTGGCACAGTTGGTGACACTCTCACCTCTGCCACCTGTGTCCTCCCCCACACTAAGCTCCGTACCAGCATCACACCAGTTCTTGCCAGGCTCCACTGGTTCACTATCCTCTCACTCGTCTACTAATCTCGTCACACCCTGGCACCTCCTTACCTTTCTGACCTGCTTTCTCCCTACTCCACAACCTGCTGCCTCTGTTCGCCTGGCTCTGGCCTCCTACTTGCCTCCCCGCTCCACCATCTGGGGGCGGGCTTTCAGCCCCAAAGTTTTGGAACTCTCTCCCTCAGTCGCTCTGACTTGCCCCCTCCTTCCCCTCTTTTAGGTCACGACTGAAGATCCTTCCTCATGGTTACCGTTCTGATGGTTACCAGGCTCTGCCACTGTTAAGCGTTGAGATGTTGCCCTGCGTTAAGGGCGCTATGTAAATTCAAGTTGTTGTTGTTGGTTCAGAAGGTTGTGAGGTGAAGCCTGACATAGGAACTTGGAGCTCACACTCCACATACCAACGATGTGATAAGGCGCTGTATCAAATGCACGGCTAATATTATTATTTTTAGTAATATTATGTGGAAACTTCAAGTTTTCAAACCTTGTGATTTGCACAACCACGAAGGAGTTGGAAGAATCACTTCCATTCTTTCATAGACGACGGCAGCAAATCCCTTTCGGGCCCAAACTCGTTGAACAAAATAAATGGAGAGGACATTGTGCATGAGAGATCAATGAAGGCTACTACAGCTTCACAGTTTAAAGCTGTTTAAATATTGATTCGGTCCGTTCTTGATTTCAGCCGAGACAAGAAAGGAAGTACTGTGAGACAGCCTGCCTGTTCCCCACAGGATCAGAGGAAATGTAACCAGTACTTCCAACTCCTTAACTCGATTAAAGAGGGTCATTGTTGTTTTGTTTTGATCCACAGGGCATCTGGCTTTAGTGTCTTCAACTCCAGCAATAACCCTAGAGCACACTGAGGGCCTACGATTGAAGGGGGGGTAAATTCATAACAAATCTGCTGGAACACTATTTCAGTGAGCGAGTAGAAAATAACAACAACAACGTGCGTTTACATAGCGCCCCTCATGCAGGGTAGCGTCCCAGAGCGCTTGACAGTGGCGGAGCATGACTCCGAGTCGGAGGGAGGGTCGAGGTGATAGTAGGCACGGCCGAAGAGGAAGGTCTTCAGGCACGACCTGAAGATTGTGAAGGAAGAGGCAAGGCGGAGGGATAGAGGAAAAGTGTTCCAGAGTTTCAGGGAGTCGTGGTTGAAGGACGAGCCCATCATACCTGTGCTGGCTCTCTGAAAGAGCTATTCACTCTTAGTCCCACTCTTTCCCCAGAGCTCTGCAAATGTTTCCTTTTCAAGTACATATAACAATTCCCTTTTGAAAGTTGTTATTGAATTTGCTTCCACTACCCTTTCAGGCAGTGCATTTGAGACCGTAACAACTCGCTGTGTAAAAAGATTTCTCCTCATCTCACCTCTGGTTCTTTTGCCAATTATCTTAAATCTGTGTCAGCTTAGGGCAGAGTAGGAGTCTTTCTGTCAGCCTCCCTCCACCTATACACTTAGGGTGACGTCTCAGAATGCTTTGCATAGATTGGGTTGGATACTGAACAAGAGAGAGTGGGGTTGGAGGGTGTAGGGGGTTGCCATAGATGTGTTCAAGGAGGTGGGTTTCAAGGCAGGACTTAAAGACAGATGGAGAGTAGGTGAAGTGGAGTGGTAGAGGGAGGGAGTCCAGATGAAGCCGCAGAGAGAGCAGGGGACATGGACGTTATGTGGAATCCTGTAGCTCAGTGGTTAGGGCATTCGCCTCGCAAGTGGAAGACATGGGTTCATTTCCCGGTCAGGGCAAAATGTTGGGTAAGTCTCCTTAGTCCAAAACCTCTGTTTACCAGCAGTAAGTAATAATTCCTTCAAAATATAAAAGAAAAAGTAAAATTGGTCACTTAATCCATGACTGCTTGTGGGCCGCTGCTGTGCACAATTGGCTGCCGTGTTTCACCCACAAAATATGCAGACTATTCACTTTACAGTATATTCTGTGAAGCGCTTTGAGACATCTCAAAGACGTAATAAAGCACTCTATCAAATGCAAGCATATTATTAGTGGAGTTACAAAAGTTCATTGTGATGAACAGAAATTAAGGCGGAGAAAGTTAACCAACTATTGGTGTGATCACTGTAACAAGCATGCGTGTGGTGCGGTTGGAGACTGAGATTAATAATAGAGGAAGGGAAAGTGAAAAGCCGTGTAATCGAGGGAACAAATTCCGCTCTCGTGTTGCAGTGAGAAAAATGCAGCGGGAAATTATGCGTTCCAGCTCCACGCATGAATTATTCTTTAAATAAAATGCCAAAAATAAAACGATTGAGTCCGGAGAGTCTGTGGTTTTTTTTTAGAAGACCTGGTGCTTTCATGCGAAATGTCTAGTCTCGCCAATGATCACCGTGAAACACTTTGCTGAACACACACCTTCCATGCAATAATAAATTGCATTTATACAGCATCGTTCATGCAGATCACCTCTGTTTACCCAGTGAGTAGGAACCCGGTTGTTAGTTGATTGGCGGATCGCTTTTCCAGGGGGTAATAATTCGTTCAAAATATATTTTAAAAAATTGGTCATTTAATCCATGACTCTTTGTGGGGATTGTTTGTTTGTAGTTACGGAGCACTGCGACAGTCACATTCCGTGAATGTTTCACCCACAAAATATACAGTCAATTCACTTTACAGTATTATAATAATAAGAAGAAGAAGAATTAAGTAATAAGTAATAATAATCCTTGAATTTGATATAGCGCTTTTCACGTATTTTTGACGTCTCAAAGCGCTTCACAGAATAGACTGTAAAGTGAATTGACTGTATATTCTGTGAAGCGCTTTGAGAGTCTGAACAATGTGATAAGGCGCTATATCAAAAGTAAGGATTATTATAATTCTTATAACTCTGCACTGATCATTCACCCCATTAAATGACTCCTGCCGTGGGTCCAAATTCCACCTAGTCTTAGTTTGCACAGCACTCTTGACTTCCAATTGAAGATGGCTCAGAATTGGAAAAGGCTTCAATTCAGTCTCATGACCTTACTTTGAGATGCTAAATGCTGTGTTAAGGATCCCGGAGCACTATTCAAGAAAAGAAGGGAATTTTTTCTAGGGTCTTGGCCAACAACCCCAAGACAAAAATTGGTCATTCACTTCATGGCTGTTTATGGGATGTTGCTGTTGCCAAATTGGCCCATAAAAAATATGCAGTCATTACAATGTGTCCTGTGAAGCACTTTGAGACATCCTCCCGATGTGCTAATCTGCGATATGAAATGCTAATGCTTGATGTTATTGTTCTTGTCTTCTCAGGTGCATACCCGAGGCTGTCTTTGAGCTTCAAATTGAAGAGGAATATCGGTTACTTCATCCTTCAAACATACATGCCGTCCATACTGATCACCATTCTGTCTTGGGTGTCGTTCTGGATTAATTATGATGCCTCAGCTGCCAGAGTTGCCCTCGGTATGTATGTACTCTCTAAAAGAAAGTTACAGTAAAGAAAGTAAATCACTGCTGACAGCCCCAGTGAACCACATTCCAGGACATTATCTTGAGTTTAGAAGGTAGAGGGGTGATCTGGTTGAGGTGTTTAAAATATTGAAGGGATTCGATAAGGTAGATACAGAGAAACTATTTCCTCTAGTGGGGGAATCCAGAACAAGGGGCATCACCTTAAAATTAGAGCTAGGCCACTTAGGAGTGAATTCAGGAGGCAGTTTTTCACCCAAATGGTAGTGGAAATCTGGATCTCTCTCCCCCAAAAGGCTGTGGATGCTGAATCCATTCACATCTTCAAGACTGAGTTGGAGAGCTATTTGTTAAGGCAGGGTATTAAGGGTTATGGGGCAAGGGACTTGAGGTATAATTTAGCAATGATCTGAAAGAATGGTGGAACACGTTTGATGGGCTGAATGGACTACTCCTGTTTCTGTGTTTCTATATCTCATGTGTCTCACCCTGGCTCAGCTGGTAGCACTCTCATCACTGAATCAGAAGGTTGTGGGTTCGAGCCCCATTCCGGGACTTTGAACCCATATAATCTAGGATGACACTCTGATGCAGTCCTGGGCATAATGTTGCTTTATTGGAAGTGCGGATGAAACGTTAAACCGTCGTGGATCGAGTGACCATATTATATATTTATTTTCCTTGAGGGATTATTATCCCCGGAAAAGTGATCCGCCAATCGACTAACAACCGGGTTTCTACTTACTGCTGGGTAAATAGAGACGTGTGGAGTTAAGGAAACTTGCCCAACATGAACCCAGGTCTCTCGCATGCGAGGCGAGTGCTCTAACCACTGAGCTACAGGACTAGATGCAAATGTTATTGAGATTTTGCAAGGGGGGTTGATAGGGCAAATAAAGGGAGAAACTCTTTCCACTGGCCAGTGAGTTGGTAACACTAGGATGTATGTATATTTAGAATTATTACCCAAAAAAGTGTGGTGACTGTGTATTTTACGAAGAGGGCAACCATTTTGCGCACAGTGAAGTCTTACAAACAGCCAAGAAGTGAGTGCATTTTTATTATTTGGGGGATTGTTGGTCAGGACACCAGGAGAAACTCTCTTCTCTTCTTGTATAGTGAGACAGGATCTTCAACGTTCACATGAAGAGTCAGACAAGATCTCAGTTTAATGTCTCATCTGGCGAACAGGACCTCCATCAATGGTATTAGGGCATGAATTGTCCCACCAGAAACAGTGTTTGAAGCACAGTCCATAATAACACAATCATAATGTTGGGAGCATGTCTCAAAGTGTTTTATACAACTGTTTTATACAACAAAGTGTTTTATACAGCTGAGATTGCCAAAAGCATGGTTGAAGTGGGTCATAGGGTGGGTGGGTTTTGAAGGCGCAAGGCACAAGAACTCCGGGATGGTGGGCAGAGTGGCTGAAGGCTCACAACAACAACAACAAGAACAAGATTACATTTGTATAGTACCTTTCACGTCGGGAGGACGTCCCAATTAATAGCGAGGCAGAGTGGATGGCAGGAATGTGAAGCAGAGGGAAGGAAAAGGTAAAAATAATAATAATCCTTACATTTCATATAGCACCTTATCATGTCATTGAAACGTCTCAAAACGCTTTGTGTTTTGTGGGCGAGACGCGGCAGCCAATTATGCACAGCAGTGTGGATTGAGTGACCAAATTATTATTATTATTTATCATATCTAAATTATTCCAGCGATGATTAATGGTCCCCTTCACCAAATACGATATCTTGTGTCCCTATCATTGCAACCACATCAGCTAACACGGGTCCTGGTTAAAATAAAACATGATATAGAAAAGGCTGGGCAAAAGGCAGAAGAGTATGACTGGGCAGATAGCTGAAAAGTGTCCTCACACGCTACATGATTGAAGATGAGGTTGGACTCAGTGGTGATATTCCCTGTGCTTGACTAACCTGGCCTGGCCTGGCCTGCTGACATTCACTGTGGACGTATGCACAGACAGGCTTCAGGAGAGGAAGGGGACAGAGGACACTGTAATGTTCCACCCTGGGCTCCTCCACCACAGCGCAGCATACGGCTAGGAACATATGGCAAGGAGCTTTGCCTTGTGAGAGGACTGTTCAGATGTGTCAGTTTCAAAGAGCTGATTGCCTGCCGAGGAGCTTTGGCGGCTTCTCTGAGCGATGAAAACATCTGCAGAAATCTGTCTCTTCGTTTTATCTCTGATGTGTCCTATAATTATGTCTCAGTCTGGCTCAGTTGGTAGCACTCTCGCCCCTGAGTCAGAAGGTTGTGTGTTCAAACCCCATGTCAGGACGTGGACTTACATAGCCTAGGATGGCGCTCCAATGCAGTGCTGGGGGTGTGTTGCATTGCCGGAAGGGCAGTCTTTCAGATGAGATGTTAAACCGAGGTCCTGTCTGCCTGTTCAGGTGCACTTTTCTCCCGGTCTCCGAACAAACAATCCCCCAAATAAAATCAGCCTTTCATTTCAGTGCTGTTTGTGGGACATAGCTCTGCAAAATATAACTGCTGCATTCGACCACAAAATACTCAGTCACTACACTTTGCAATGTAGTAGCTATGAAGCTTTGAGACGTCCACCCAACCCCAGCTTGCAGTCAGGCTCCACCACTGTTAAGCGTTCTGAGATGCGTGGAGAGCATTATATAAGTTCAAGTTGTTGTTGTTGAAAGGCACTATTAGCAAACGTAAGGGTTGTAATTATTAGGATTTTATTATGACTGGAACGTGATTAAATCGGACAGAGCAACGCTTAAAAAATCCAAGTCTAAATTATACAAAATAGGCGGAGACAGGAGAGGTAAGATTAGATACTCGGGTAACTTTTATCATTCCTGTACTTTAATAATTAACTGCACTTACAGTGTTGCAAGTTTGCTTATGTGGACTTTTTGCGGTGCTTTGACATCCTTTTTCAGGCATATGAATTATGGAATTATGATGACGTCGAACACAAACCCAAAAGCTCAACCACACTGATATGATTTTAATTGCTTGGGTGGAGGCTAAGGTTTATATAAGAGGTCTTAGTGCCTAAGTTCCATCTGATTCTATTTAATAGCATTCATTTCACCACTGTTTGCTGGACATTGCTGTGTGCCTACAAAATACACAGCCACTACACTTTACAGTAAATCCTGTGAAGCGCTTTGAGATGTCCTCCTGACCTGAAAAGCGTTATACCAAATGCAACGATTATTATTATTAATAATAACTGCAAATTTCTGCAATGAGATGAGAAACTGGATCCGTTCAGGTGGACACTAAAGATATCATGGCACCATTCAAAGAGAGAAGGGTGTTTCTCCAAGTTTCCAGGCCGACAATTCCCCCAAATAATAAGAATTCACTCGTTTCGGGGCCGTTTGTGGGATGCCGCTGTGTGCAAAACAGTTGCCACCTACGTAAAATACAAAGGCACTACATTTCACAATAAAAAAATTCCTGTGAAGCACTTTGAGACACCTGAACAATGTGTTAAAGTCCTATACCAAGTACAAGGATTATTCTTGTAACATTAAAAACTTTGAAGAGGTAACCCAAAAAAAATGCAACATAACAAAAGGAGCAGATTTCTCACCGGGGATTCAGTCTGCCTGTAAGCTATATAGTTGGAGTATGTTTGAGGACTTGTGAAATTACCCTTGATACACGTAATATTCTAGAGTGTAACAAGACAAATGACAAAAGGGATTCATTCAAAACACTGCAGCATATCCCTGTGCATGCTTGATAAATATAGCCAGCCGGCTTAATTTCTCCAGAGTTCATCATGATTGAGTTGAAAGTGTAATGACTTTCCTGGAGAACGTAATAAGTAGTTTCTGAAACATTAATAGCATCGGAGGACCGTGTTCCCATTGTTTGTGTGAGTCATGTCTGGGGCTGAAAAAGCAGGGGCAAATAAAGAATTAAAGACTTTCACGATAACATGGCTGGCAGCACTCTCGCCTCTCAATCTGAAGGATTTAGATTGAAGCCCCACATAGGGACTTTTAACCCACACTCCAGGCTGATGCCTTAGTGCAGTGCTGATGGAACGCTGCATTGTGGAGTCCTGGAGGTCAGTGTTTAGAGCACTCGCCTCGCGAGCCAGGTTTGTTTCCTGGGCAGAGCAAAAGGTTGGGCAAGTTTCCTTACTCCACACACCCTCTGTTTAACCAGCAGTAAGTAGGAAGCCGATTTGCGGATCGCTTCTCCAGGGGTAATAATTCCTTCAAAAAAAATTAATAAGAAGAATTTGGTCACTCAATCCACGACTGTTTGTGGGACACTGCTGTGCGCAATTAGCTGTCTCATTTCAACCCCCAAAATATACAGTCAGTTCACTTTACAGATTATTCTGTGAGTCATAGAATTATACAGCACAGAAGGAGGCCATTCGGCCCATCTTGTCTGTGCCGGCTCTTTGAAAATAGCTATCCCAATTTAAATCCCACTCCCCCGTTCTCTCCCCATAGCCCTGCAAACTTGTCCTCCCCAAATAATCATCTACTTCTCTCTTAAAAGTTGTTATTGAATCGGATTCCACCACCCTTTCAGGCAATGCATTACAGATCCGAACAACTCGCTGTGTAAAAAAAAATTCTCCTCACCTCCCCTCTGTTTCTTTTAATAACTATTTTAAATCGGTGTCCTCGGGTTACCGACCCACCCGCCAGTGGAAATAGTTTCTCCTGTCATGCTAAAGATCCCATGGCACGACTTGAATTCAAGAATTCAAGATCCTCATCTACAAGGCCATTCATGGCCTCGCTCCCTCCTACCTCTCCGACCTACTATCCCCCTACGTACCTGCCCGTACCCTCCGTTCCTCTGGCTCCGGTCTGCTCCACATCCCCCGCCCCAACCGCCCTACCATCGGTGGCCGGGCCTTCAGCCTCTCAGCCCCGAGGCTCTGGAACTCCATCCCCCAGTGCCTTCGCCGCTTCCTCCCTTTCCTCCTTTACGGCCGGTCTCAAAACCTTTCTCTTTGACCGAGCCTTCACCTCCCCTCTCGACTCTCTACCCCCTCCTCGCTCCCTCCCTTCCCTCCCCTCACCCTAACCATTTCCCCCCTCCTCGGGTCCTGACCCAACTGTACAGCGCCTTGGGACGTCCTCCCGACGTGAAAGGTGCTCTATAAATGGAATCTTGTTGTTGTTGTTGAACGGTGTTTCTCCCAGTGTCTTGGCCAACAGCCCTCCAGTTAAAATTAGTCATTCACTTCACAGCTGTTTGTGGGATATGGCTGTGCACAAATTGGCTGCTGCGTTCACCTTGAAAATATATGGTTACTACACTTTAAAGCAAATCCTGCGAAGTGCTTTGAGGTGCCCACACAATGCGAAAGGTGCGATATCGAATGCAAGGATTATTAATATTATAATTGCTATTATTATAGCGCATTGGGCTGAAGATTATCTTCACTTTAAATACATCAGTTTGCTATTCCTTCAAAACTTTTGAGACATCCTTCTAATGTGAAAGGTGCTATCTAAATGTAAATTGCATTGTATTGGTTGCAACAGTACATTGTTCTAAATATCTGTGTTTCTTATTGAAAGTTAGGCTCCAAACTTGCGATATTCTCAAACTGTATTTGCTGCGTTAATCCTGAATCTCAATTTACCAATATCAGATTGAGGGATTTGAGCCACTCACAACCCAAACTAAAAAAAATTCCAATAAAAAAAAACCTTCGGTTGGATACGGATGGAATTCTGCATGCCAACCTTTCCTTAAGGAACATAGGTACCGATCTCCATACCCCCGTCTCACTCCAGGTCAAACTCCGTACCCCCATCTCACCAGTTCTGGCCCAGGCTCCACTGGCTCCTTATCATCAAATGGATCGACTTCAAGATCCTCACTCACGTGTTCAAATCCCTTCACTCCCTGGCAACCTCCTTACCTCTCCGACCTCCTCACTCCCCAATCAGCGCCTCTGCTCGACTGGCACAAGCCTCCTGCTTGTCCCTCGCACTCTCTGCTCCACCATTGGAGTTCGTGCTTTCAGCCTACACCCTGAAACTCTGGAACACTCTCATTCAATCCCTCCGCCTTGCCCCCCCTCTCCCCTTTTTCAAGTCCCACCTGAAAATCTTCTTTTTCGACCGTGCTTACAGTCACCTCCTCCTCCCTCCACTCCCGCCCCCCCAGCTTGGAGTCAGCTCCTCCACTGTTAAGCACTCTGAGACGCTACCCTGTGTGGAGAGCGCTATTTAAGTGCAAATTGTTGTTGCTGTGGGAATAAAAGAATTGGGAAGGTCTTTCAACCCATCAAACCTATTCCACCAGTTTATTAAACCTTGTTAGATTTGTTAATTCCAGAGTTTTGCCCATTCTTCAACCACCTAATACCTCTACTACCCGAATATCTATTGCTATTTTAAACATTCCTACTGATTCCACCTCTACAGCTTTCTGAGGCAGAGAGTTCCAGATCCTCACAACCCTCTGGATGAAGATACTCTTTCTGACCTCAGTTCTAATTCAGAACTCTGCAGCTCGTGTACTGTCCCGCACCAGGCTTCGGGACCACATCACTCCCACCCTCGCTCGCCTCCACTGGCTCCCCATCCCCCAGAGGATTGATTTCAAGATCCTCATCCTCACCTACAAGGCCATTCACGGCCTCGCTCCCTCTTACCTCTCCAACCTACTATCCCCCTACCTACCTGCCCGTACCCTCCGTTCCTCTGGCTCTGGTCTGCTCCACGTCCCCCGCCCCAACCGCCCTACCATCGGTGGTCGGGCCTTCAGCCTCTCAGCCCCCAGGCTCTGGAACTCCATCCCCAGTGCCTTCGCCGCCTCCTCCCTTTCCTCCTTCAAGGCCGGTCTCAAAACCTTTCTCTTTGACCGTGCCTTCAGCTCCCCTCTCGACTCTCTTCCCCCTCCTCGCTCCCTCCCTTCCCTCCCCTCACCCTGACCATTTCCCCACTCCTTGCTCCCTCCCTTCCCTCCCCTCACCCTGACCATTTCCCCCCTGCTCGGGTCATGACCCAACTGTGCAGCGCCTTGGGACGTCCTCCTGACGTGAAAGGCGCTTTATAAATGGAATCTTGTTGTTGTTGTTGTAATTGTCTTAGCTCAGGTTTTAAGGCTGTTCCGACCTTGTGATGGAGCTGTCTACCATTTAAAACCTCGATCAAATCGCCCTTAACCTGTTCTAATGTAGTATAATCCCAGTCTAACCAGCTGCTGATTCATAGCTAAGTTCCTTCGGTCCAGTAATTAGGCCAGTGACCCATTACTACACTTGCTCTAAGACTCATCTAGGAACATCACTGACTTGAGATTCACAGTGTGCCAGATGGTTATTTGTATGCCACAATTGATGCCATATGAAGTGCTTTGAGACGTCTCAAAGACATGATAAGGTGCTATATCAAATGCAAGGATTATTATTATTACATACCCAATTCATGATTATCACAAACTAGACAAACCCCAATATCCTTGGGCCTTTCTCTCGGGGATAGAGAGAGAAAAGCCCAAGGATATTGGGGTTTGTCTAGTTTATGATAATCTTTTTATCCCTGAGTCTTATTCTTTCTCTATCCACAGATCTCTCTCTCTTTCTTTCTCTCTCTCTCCCTCCCTTCCCAGTTTCTCCCTCTCTTTCTATACCTGGGTCTCTTCTCACAGTAGCACCATAATAGCACGCATGATCCTAAGTCAGAAGTTTAAGGGTTGAAGCCCCAACATTGGGAGTAGAGGTTGCAGACCATGGCTCATATCTCAAGATCATTCTTTGGATTAAACCAAAGCCCGCTCTGCACATTCTTTATTTGAACATTAAAGATCCCATGATATTGTTAATCAGAGAAGGGATTTTCTCTAAGTGTGGTAGTCAACAAACACCCAGATAAATTGGCTCTTTGCAGTACCTTGCTGTATCATTAAGCCAGTATTGTTAAGCACCTTGGGGTGTCCTCTGAATGTGAAAGGCGCTGTACAAATGTATTTCTGTGTTGTGTTGCAATGTGTGCAAAATGATTGCTGTGTTTACCTTCAGGTTTGGAGTCACTAAACTTGACAGCAGCTATCTGTCAGGTGCTTTGAGATGTTTTGGTGTTCTGTCAAGAGAAAGGATTATTATTTATTAATATAGCATTACAAAGCACATTCTTAGAAATACCTAGCACATAATCACAATACGAATAATAATAATAATAATAATCCTTGCATTTGAGATAGCGCTTTTTACGTCTTCTAGATGTCTCAAAGCGCTTCACAGAATATGCTGTAAAGTGAATTGACTATATTTGTGGACAAGGTCACAAGATTGGTCTGGATGGAGAAGGGCCTTTCGCCCATCCGATCTCATTCCTCCAGAACACCCACCTTACCAATCCCCCATCATAGCATCAAACTGCTTTTTAAACGAGTCCCAGTATCCTGGCCTCAACCACCTTTCCTGTCAACCTGCTCCAGTCGTTGCTTATCCTCTGTGCAAAGAAAAACTTCCTGGTATCTGTTGTGAAATTGCCCTTTACAACTGTAAACCCATCTCCTCTTATTTTACTGTCTTGTTGCATCCTTATTGTTTCAATCCCATTTAAAATATTGTACCCCTTGGTGAGATCTTGTCTGAGTTGTCTTCTCTCGAGACTGAAGAGCCCAAGCTTGTCTAATCAGTGCTGATAGCTCATTCTTCTAACACTGGGGATCATATTTGTTGCTCTCCTCTGCCTCTAGGGCCTGGGCAGGCCCTTAATAATAATAGTAATCCTTGCATTTGTGTACAGCAGTGTCCCACAAACACTCATGGATTGAGTAACCAAATTATTATCATTAATATTTTTGATGTTCACTTGACAGGGATCACGACGGTGCTGACGATGACAACCATCAACACCCACCTGAGGGAAACGCTCCCAAAGATTCCCTATGTCAAAGCCATCGACTTGTACCTGATGGGCTGCTTTGTCTTTGTGTTCCTGGCCTTGCTGGAGTACGCCTTCGTCAACTATATTTTCTTCGGGAGAGGCCCGCAAATGCAGAAGAGGTTGGCAGAGAAAGCCTCCAAGTCCAATAACGAACGGCACAAGTATGAAGGCAACAGGGTAAGAAGACACTCTTTTTTTTTTTGGTCAGCCTTTGGTTCCCTTGCAAATCGTTCCTTTTCCCATTTTTCCATTTCCCCACATACTTGCGGAGTCCTGTAGCTCTTGGAGTCCTGTGAATAGAGCGCTCGCCTCACAAGCGAGAATTCCCAATTCCCGGGCAGGACGAAATGTTGTGCAAGTTTCCTTACTCTACACTCCTCTGATTACCGAGCAATAAGTAGGAAACAGGTTGTTCGATTGGCGAATCGCTTTTCCGGGGATAATAATCCTTCAAAAAAAAATACAGTCAATTCACTTTACAATATATACTGTGGAGCGCTTTGAGATGTCTCAATGACGTGATAAGGCATTATATCAAATGCAAGGATTATTATTCTTATAAATGAAGGGAACAACTGATTTTATCTGGGACGATTGTTGGCTGGGACAACGGGAAAAATTTCCTTCTCTTTTCGAGTAGTGCCATGGAATCTTTAGTGTACAGGCAGATCAGTTTAGTATCTCAGCCTAAGGATGGCACCTCAAACAATGCAGCACCAAACAATCTAGATGCAAATCATGACTTGTGCTGAAGTACTTTAAATGATGGAATTTGCAGCGTAAACTAATGCAGATTGTCAGCCTGGACTGTCAACCCTCAAGCCTCTTTGTTCCAGTGGAAACAGTCCCTGTTCTCCTTTGCCCTTGGAAGGCCTTAGAAGATCCTTCAGATCATTTTATTCTCATTCATCCAGAACACGCACCTTACCATCCTGCCAGTTTTCCTCTACAGCATCACGTTGTTTCTAAAATGAGTCCAGTTTCCTGGCCTCAACAACCCTTCCTGGCAACCTGTTCCAGTCATTAATTAGCCTCTGGGTGAAGAAAAACTGGTGTCTTGCCCTGAAATTGTCCTTTGCAACTCTGAAAACCATGTCCTCTTGTCCTACTGTATCTGAATGTACTTTCTCAATCCCATGTAAAAGAATGTATACCTCTATAGGATCCTCTCTGAGATGTCTCCTTTCAAGAATAAATAATAATAATCTCTTCAAACAAAAACAACAATAATAATTTGATCACTCAATCCACGAGTGTTTGTGGGACGTTGCTGTGTGCAATTGGCTGCGGCGTTTCGCCCACAAAATATACAGTCAACTCACTTTACAGTATTTTCTGTGAAGCCCTTTGAGACGTTTTAAAGAAATGATATGGTGCTACATCAAGTAGAAGGTTTATTATTATGATATAAGATCTCTAGCTTGAATAGCTTAACAGGAGACGTGGGTGAGGTCAGGACACCCAACTGGACTCATTTAAAAGTAGCTTGTTGTTGTGACGCTTGGGTGGGCATTCAGAAACAATTAGATCAAATGGGCTGAAAGTCCTTTGTCATCCAAACTAATCTTGTGCGTTGGTGACTAATTGTTACTCACAGTTCATTCCTCTAACAATGCTCTTCATTGGACTGCTCTAGATCCTTGGCAGACCCTTAGATTCAGTGCCCAAAACTGTATACAATGCTCTAGGTGTGGCCTGACCAAAGCACTAGACAGCTCACCCCCACTTTTTACAGACGTAGTTTAGGTTTAATTGGCTTTTTTAATTTGGCCTTGATGGAATAGCGTATTGGTTAGATCGCTCGCCTCGCAAGCGAGAGGACCAGAGTTTGATTCTTGGGGGGGGCGAAATAGGCAAGTTTCCTTACTCCACATGCCTCTGTTTATCTAGCAGTAAGCAGGAAGCAGTTTGTTAGTCAATTGTTAGTCTCCCCATAACCCTCCCCATAGCCCTGAAAACTTGTCCTCCCCAATAATCCCCTTAAAAAAAATTGGCCACACGACTGTTTGTGGGACACTGATGTGCGCAATTGGCTGCCGCTTTTCACCCACAAAGTTTACAGTCAATTCACTCTACAGCATATTCTGTGAAGCGCTTTGAGACGGCTTGAAGACGTGATAAGGTGCTTTATCAAATGCAAGGATTATTATTATGAATGCCACATGCCTGATGTGCTGTTTAATGCTTCCAAACCAATTGCACTGATATATCACTCATTGAGAAACAAAGCCACACTCCCAGAAAGCTAACAGAATACGGCAATAAACAAAAGGGCACTGAAACTAATTACAATATCTTGAAATGTTTAATTATGTAAAAGAAAAAGGCCTGTGAAAGGGATTACATTTCACTTGCCTCCTCAGTCTATTTCCGCCCATTTACTCTGGCATCATGAAAAGAATATTAATTACAAATGATTTTGCTAGCTTATAGTCCACTATCACTGTCAGTCCGAGAAGCCTTTAAGGAAGATTAGCTGAATAATGCACAACCTCGTTGTCTGAAGAAGTTCCTCCTAAACTCCCTATTAGATCCACAATTGATATCTTCTAGTTTTGGACTCACCAACAAGTAGAAACATCCACATTACCAAATCCTTTCTTAACCTGAAAAATCTCCATCAGGTTCCCTCTCAACCGTTTCAACTCCAGACAGAACATTTCCAAACTGTCCAATCTTTCTTGAACTCGCTGCCTCTACTCCTCCATCTCACCTCTGCTCTATCTGTATTCAAATTGTGGCTCAAAACCTATCTCTTCAACTGCGCCTATGGCTGCCTTTCCTCCCCCTCCCCCCCCCCCCCCCACTCCACTCAGTTCAGCATCTTACATAAGATACTGTGAAGCATCTCAAGACATTATTCTGTGTGAAGGGCACTATATAAATGCAATTTATTCTTGTTGTGGATAGCTCCATGAACTTATCCTGGTAACAACCTTGTAAATCTGTGCTGCGCTTGCTCCATTGCTGCAATATCCTTCATCTAGAGAATTCATCTGGTGAAATATTATACAGGAGAAACTCCCTTACAATTTTGAAGTAGTGTCGTTGTATCTCTAAAGTCCACATAAACAGGACCTCGATTTAACATCACATCCGAAGGACGGCACCTTCAACAATGCATTGTTTCCCCCTATTACTGCACAAGAGTTTCAGCCTAAACACTGCCTAAGTAATGATATGGCCATAGAATCATAGAATTATACAGCACAGAAGGAGGTCATTCGACCCATCATGTCTGTGTTGGCTCTTTGAAAAGAACTATCCAAATAAATCCCACTCCCCCGCTCTCTCCGCGTAGCCCTGCAAACGTCTCCTCCCCAAATAATTATCTACTTCTCTCTTAAAAGTTGTTATCGAATCGGCTTCCACCACCCTTTCAGGCAGTGAGATAGTTGTGAGAGTAATGATATGTGTGTCAGCCTGGCTCAGTTGGAAGAACTCTTGCCTTTGAGTCAGAAGGCTGTGGGTTGAAGCTCCACATTGGGGCTTGGAACCCATACAGTATAAGCTGACACTCTGATACAGTGATGGCAGAGTTGGATTCAGAATTCTTGCACCCTGTGTCATGGATTCCTGTAGCATAGTGGTTAGAACACTCTACTCACAAGGGAGAGGACCTGGGTTCGATTCCCGGGCAGGGCGGAACACTGGGCAAGTTTCCGTACTCCACACGCCTCTGATTACCTCGTATTAAATAGGAACCTGGTTGTTAGATGATTGGTGGATCGCTTTTCCGGGGGTAATAATCCCTCAAAAAAAAAATTTGGTCCCTCAATCCACGACTGTTTGTGGGACACTGCAGTGCACAATTGGCTTCCGCTTTTCACCCCACAATAATATGCAGTCAATTCACTTTACAGTATAGTCTGTGAAGCATCTTGAGACATCTCAAAGACGTGATAAGGCACGTATATTGCATACCAATGCAATATTTATGGGTGAAATGAGCTGTATCAAATATAAGTGTTATTGGGATTGTTTTACATTTGGTATTGCGCTTTTCACGTCAGGAGGACGTCCCAAACAGTTTCGACAACAACAACAACATTACATTTGTAAAGCGCCTTTCACGTCGGGAGGATGTCCCAAGGCATTTCATAGGATATACTGTAAAGTGTCGTAACTGGGTGTTTTACAGCAAGATGCAGATCTTTCATAAATGTTCTTTAGGGATAGACAGATTTTATTTTTCTTTCCAGCCCAATTCTTTCCTGGCAGATGGTCAAGCAAACCCCTGTGCCACTTAATGCACGACTGAAATTGACTGACGATTATAATGGAAATCTAGCCAGCACACATTTTTTTTATGTAAAACTCTTTAAAACATTTGACTCCATTGTTATAATTGAATCGGATAAACACGAGTCGTTTTATAAGCAATGAAAATGATAGAGGCACACAATTGGAGAGCGGAAATAGGTGTATAAATTACACCACGCTGAAGCCCACAACAGTGTAACAGCAACCAATACATATGACCTCAAGCATTCATTCTAATAAAACAATTTATACAATGCAAATTTACATTTAGTCAGCGCCTTTCACTTCAGGAGGATATCCCAAGGCTCTTGACAGTCATAATAATAATAATAATAATAATAATAATCCTTGCATTTGATATAGCGCTTTTCACGTCGGGAAGACGTCCCAAAGCGCTTCACAAAACACACTGTAAAGTGAATTGACTGTATATTTGTGGGCGAACGCGGCAGCCAATTGCGCACAGCAATGTCCCACAAACAGTCGTAGATTGAAAATGACCAATTTATTATTGTTTTGGGTTTTGGAGGGATTATTATTAGGCTCTGTGTGGAGTAAGGAAACTTGCCCAAGGTTTGGCCCTCTGCCTGGAATTGAACTCAGGTCTCTCGCTTGCAAAGCGAGTGCTCTAACCACTGAGCTACAGGACTCCACAATGCTTGGTATCCGAGCTGAGGGTGCGAGCGAGATGTGGGATGGGGAGGGGAAGATGACCGAAGGTGCGGTCAAAGAGGAAGATCTTGAGAGGGACCTTGAAAGAGTTGAAGGAGGGAGGGAGAGAGTTGGAGGGGTGGAGTTCCAGAGAGCGGGGGCAGGGAGGCTGAATGCATGACCATCAATACTGATCCCATAATAAGCAGTTCATTTTATAGAAAATAGTAATTATTTTGCGAGGTACAATTTTGTCGGGTGTCAGACACAGACAAGGGCAGAAACCCATCGCATGCTTAGCAGTATCCAAACCAGACTGAGATTTCCACACGTGCATAAAACAATGAGCTCTAACGTACGACATTTCTTAAAGGCATCTCTTAATAACAACTCCCGAGTCGTCAACAGGGAGATGTTAATTAAGCATTGATGGCATCTGCTTATATGGCTTAGTTGGTTGCATCACTGGTTGGAGCAAAGATCTGATAGTTAGATCTGATCTAGTTATAATCATCACAGCAAAATACTGCTTGGAGCAAAGCCTTAGAGATTCTTGGTTCAATCCCAGACTATGCTGAATTAGATTATCTCAGAGGAGCAATACAATTACAAGTAGTACTGCTAACATGAGTGTCAGTCTGGCTCAGTTGGGCTCCATGGTCTTGCTCCTCCCTACCCCTGCGACCTACTAAACCTCTACCAACCTACCCACTGCCCACGCTCTGCCCGCTCCACCATCGGAGGTCAGGCCTTTAGCCTCTCTTCCTCCACCCTCTGGAACTCCATCCCAGAGCCTCACCGCCTTGCCCCCTCCTTTCCTCCTTTAAGGGGCATCTCAAGACCTACCTCTTCGACCATGCTTAGGTCATCCTCCCACCTCCACCCTCTTGGCCCTCCCCCGCTCTTGATTCCAACCCCAGCTTGGAAGCAAACACTTCACTGTCCAGCACCTTGTGACGTCCTTCTCACGTGAAAGGCGTTATAATAATAATAATAATAATACTTGATATAGCACCTAATCACATCTTTGAGATGTCCGAAAGTGCTTCACAGAATATACTGTAAAATGAATTGACTGTATATTTTTTGGGTGAAACGTGGCAGTCAATTGCGCACAGCAGTGTCCCACAAACAATCATGGATTGAAGTGACCAATTTATTATTATTATTTATTCATTAATAAATTATTACCCCCAGAAAAGCGATCCGCCAATCGACTAACTACTTACTGGAACTGCTGGGTAAACAGGCGTGTGGAGTAAGGAAACTTGCCCAACATTTCGCCCTGCCGGGAATCAAATTCAGAGCTCTTGCTTGTGAGACGAGTGCTGTAATCACTGAGCTACAGGACTGCACTGTAGACTGTAAATGCAATTTGTTGTTGTTGTAGCGCTCTTTTGCATTTGATTCAGAAGGTCCCATGTCAGGACCAGGAGTTAACGCAGTCTGTGCTGACAATGTAATGCAGTGCTGCCCTGTTGGAGGTGCCAGGCTTTGGATGAGATGTTCATCTGAGGCTACCTACCTGTTCAGTTGGACGTTAAAGATCCCACGTGTCTCTCAGTGTCCTGGCCAACAAATAAAATTGGCCGTTCACTCACATTCACCGTTGAGGCATATTGCTCATTCGGCTACCGTGTTTGCCCACAAAATACAGTCACTCACTTGCATTGAAACGTCTCAACAACATGATAAGGTGTGATATCAATATTAAGGATTTTTATTATTATTAATTAGCCTCAGCGCCCTGTGAGGCTATCTTGTGTTGCCCAGCATTGAGGGAGTAAACAGGGTCTCATTGGAGCTGAAGCTCTCTGAGACGGTGTCCTATGTGAAGGGCTCCAAGGTGACATGCTTGACAATAAAATGTCGGAATCGAGCGAGCCCTCTGTGACAGTGTGGTAGTCTGTTTCCTGAGCCAGGCAGGTCCACAGTACTCCAGGGCAATGGTGATGACAGCCTGGGTCATCAGCAGGACTTGGAAGGGCAGACCAGTCAGTCACTTGGGGAAGGGAATTCTCCCACTCAGCTCCTGTTCACCCTGCAAGCCAAACCCTATGGGTAGGGTGGTCCCAGCTGGACAAGCAGCGGGAAAGCTTGCCAGACAGCGATATCAGTAGCAAGCTATTTGGTTTTAGCTGCTTAGCTCCAGCAGTTACCCCAACCCACACTCTGGGGTCCCCAAGCCTCGGCTCTTGCCAACCTGTACCTAATACTTTCCAGAATTAGGTGAGCAGGATGTGTCCCTCCAGGGAGAGAGAGCGCATTTCATTCTAACAATCTGTCTCTGGGATTCCCAAGGGTAGGTGGGATGTGTGGAATTCTCAGCTTGGTTTGGATACTCTTAAGCACGGTGATGGGTTTCCACGTGTGTCACCCAGCTGACCAAAAAAAGGGCACCAGACAAATGACAGTTGTTGTTGTTGAGATATCTCAATGGTGTGATAACAATAACCACAACAAAATTACATTTGTATAGCGCCTTTCGCGTCGGGAGGACATCCCAAGGCGCTGGGAGGCGATGATAATGGGAGCATTACCAATAAAGCTGTAAAAGTGCTGGTGCTTTGCTGAGTGCCTGGGTGGTGTGATGACAGTGTAAACATATGTGTGAGTGTGAGACTCTGCTGATTTCTGCCCGTTGTGATTTGCACGATCAGGTGGACGCTCACGGGAACATCCGCCTCTCGACCGTGGAGATCCACAACGAGGTGTCCGCCACAGAGGTCACCACCAGTGTCTCCGACTCCCGGAATTCAGTCATGTCCTTCGACAACCCGGGAATCCAGTACAGGAAACACAGCTCGGCTCGGGAGGGGTTCGGGCGAGGCACGATGGACAGGAACCCCACGCAGACCAAGAAGAACCGCTTGCGACGAAGGTCATCTCAACTAAAGATTAAAATCCCCAACCTGACTGACGTGAACGCCATAGACAGATGGTCAAGGATAGTGTTCCCTGTCGTCTTTTCTCTCTTTAACCTGATCTACTGGCTCTACTACGTAAACTGACACTGAGCGTTGCTCTCTGCAGATCTAGAGGACTCCATTTAATATAGAGGGCAAACCAACTGCCCAACCGTGGTAGGAATGCAAGAAATGCTAACATTGCAGCTATGGGGGACAAAAATCAAAACAAAATTGGGACGTTAGAACGCAAGCTGTGACAATGAGAAACAAAAAACAAATGTACAACTTTTTAAGGAAAACTATAATGGACAATACCCTCAGAGAGAGAGAGCGAGAGAGCGAGAGGGAGAGAATGTGTGTGTGAGAGAGAGAGAGAGAGTGACATTTATAAGCCTTGAAACAGCTTGTCATATTTTGCATGAGTTCCACGTCACATAAACAATGGGTTAATCTTGCCATATAACACTAGGAAATTGTAAAAAGTAGTTAAGTAATTGTTTGGATCTTGCAAGAGTTGCACCTCTTCGAGACACGGTGGTTGCGACTATTTCTAAGTGCAGAGGCCACAGCTGATCAACACGCTGTGTTTAGTTGACACCCACAGCAGTATATTTTCAGCGCGGAATCGTCTCAAACACAGAACAGGACGAATTCAATACGACGTCCGCAGAGACCTGGAGCGAATTAATCATTTTACACTGTGTATAGTTTCATTGCTACTTTATTCATGGACAAGAGTTACTGGGATTAGTTGATTAGTTGCTCCTCACCGTTAGGCGTTTACTGTGTAAATAGTTTTAGTCGGACTTGATTTCCTCTCCCCCCACCACCCATATGCACACACATTCCCCCCTCCTCCCCACCCACCCACCCAGCCACAACCCCTTTCCCTCCACCCATGCGTCCAATTTACTTTCTCTCCGGAAATAAATAACTAATAGAGTTTGTTCGGTTCGGTTCGGTGGTGACATCATTAACATTCCTACGTTACTGTTTGAGTCCTTTTGGTGTTGCATTTCAAAATAAAAGAGTGTGGAAAAAAAAGTTTAATTTTAAAAACAGAACCGTTCCAATAATTTGTTAGTTAGTGGGGGCCGTGACTCCAGGCTAAGAGTTAAATAAATGCCCGATGCCCAGGGTCTTAGCTCCGCACAAGTGCTTATTGGATGAATGACCATCTTCCCGGGTTTGAGAGCTGCCAAACGAAGAGGGCAATAGATCGCAGGTCACCTGGTTATCCGCACGCCCTTTTATCTGCATCGGGCTCTGATGCTGACGTTGACCAAAAATCTGGTGCTGCGCATGTGCACAAGTTGCGGGCGAGATTAACAACAACAACAACTTGCATTTAAACAGCGCCCCTCATGCAGGATAGCGTCCCAGAGCGCTTGACAGTGGCGGAGCATGATTCCAAGCCGGGGGTAGGTGACCATAGGCACGGTCGAATAGGAAGGTCTTCTTGCACGACCGGAAGATGGGGAAGGAAAGGGCAAGGCGGAGGGATAGAGGAAGAGTGTTCCAAGGTTTAGCAGGGCTTTACTAACTGCATGCACGCCAACAACTATGTTATGTTTTGTTTTGCCATGGCACAAATGGATTACTCTGTACAATTATTTGCATACAGAGTAGACGTAGAGGAAGAAATAGATACAGATGTAGGTATAGAGAGAGAGAGTGAGAGCGAGGGATAGAGTGAGAAAGACTGAGTGAGAGAAATGGAAAGAGTAAGAGGCGGAGAGAGGACAGAGTGAAAGAAATAAACGTAGATGTAGATATAGAGAAAGTCTCAGTGTGAGATAGGGAGAGAGCCAGCGAGAGATAAAGTGAACAAGATAGAGTGGGAAAGACTGAGTGAGAGAAATGGAAAGAGGGAGAGGCAGAGCGGAAAGAGGGACTAAGTAAAAGGGAGTGAGAGGAGGACTGGCGCACTGGTGTGTAAACCCCCGATGGAACAATTTTGTAGTTAGCACTGTAGCCAATTTGTATGTTGAATAATGTTCCAATTATCCAAACTGTCTGCTTATCCACAAAGAAGGTTGGCTTCAGTTTGTGTGGATAATCATCTCTCTTCTGGGTGTTTCCCGGTGAAGTATATCTGTACCTCACGAGTTTTACTGCTGCTGGCTGAGCAAGTGCGAGGAGCAAATAGCAGAGTTAATGAAAAATAAGTTCTGTTCCCAGATGTTGTGTTGTACACTGACAGAATGACACCGCACAGTGATTGGGGATGATTCTCCCAGGCTAAAACAACTGCAGAAAAGATTTCATTACTCTCATCGCTTCAACCACAGAATATACAGTCAATCCACTTTACAGCATATCCTATGAAGCGGTTTGAGACGTCTCGAAGACGTGATAAGTCGCAATATCAAATGCAAGGATTATTATTATCCCTTCACACTGGTAACCCGCCCCCACCCCTACCCCCACCGCCCCCAGTATTGAATGGAATAAAATACTCCCAGCGATTGTAAAATGTTAACGGTTTAAGAAGTGAGCAAAAACCTACTTGTGAATTTTCTCGCTTCTGAGTTATGCAGCGAGCCCTGACCTTGGGGAGATGTTTGTCACCTCTCGGTGTAGGTTTGCGCACAACACAGCTCTCCACTGCGTCGCAGAAGGTTAAATTTGGAATCCTGTAGCGTATTGGTTAGAGTGAGCACTCGCCTGGCAAGCGAGAGGACCTGGGTTCGATTCCCGGGCAGGGCAAAACCTTAGGCAAGTTTCCTTACTCCACACAGCTCTGTTTGCCTTGCAGTAGGTAGGCAACCGGTTGATAGTAAATTGGCAGATCGCTTTCCAGGGGGTAATAATCCCTTCAATAAAATACTAATAATTTGGTCACTCAATCCGCTACTATTTGTGGGACACTGCTGTGAGTATTTGGTTGACGCGTTTCGCCCACAAAGTCAATCCACTCTACAGTATATTCTACGTACAGGATTGACTATATTCTGTGAAGTGCTTTGAGGCGTCTCAACAACGTAATAAAATGCTATATCAAATACAACGATTATTATTGTTATTGTTATCAAGAGGGAGATCAGCAGCTGGGGCAAGCTTGCATTTACATACTGTCCCCAAGCACTTTAGAAAATAGGATTTGCTAGGAAAGCTGGAAAGGCTGATTTACGGCAGCAAAGTCCCACAAGAATACAGCATCCTGCACACAAAAAACAATGAGATGAGCAGCCAGTTAGTCTGAATTCTGAGGAGAGTGTGTGAGAGTGTACGGGTAGGAGAGATTGGTATACTGTGAGGAGGACCCCACATCCATTGAAATATCGCAGATAACCAAGAATCCACCCAAAATCACAGCCGGGCAGGAAAGTAGATGAATGACTCCGTCGAACTGGACATGAATATATCACAACCCTGGTATGAATATAGAATTGTTGTTAAGGAGGCAACATAGAAGTTAACCAACACCTCACAACCCCACGGTGTGTGAAAGGAGACAAATTAATTTCAATTGGCAAGAGAACTTATACACTCTGGTGGCTATTGAGATAGATAAATAATGACCGATTGGTAATTTGGTAACAGGTGTGGTGAGGATGTAAGATCAGGATTGTCACTGAAGGAGCTCAAAGGTGAGGTAGAAGGGATTTTTGTCACTGAGCTGAGGGGTATTAAACTGAAGTGCTTTGCAATGTTGGAGCTCGGGGAACAGTGCAAAGGGAATTCCTGGGTGGGGCAAAATCTTAGGCAAGTTTCCTTACTCCACACAGCTCTGTTTACCTAGCAGTAACCTGGTTGTTAGCCGATTGGGAAATCGCTTTTCAGGGGGGGAATAAACTCTTCCAAAAAAATAATTTGGTTACTCAACCCACTGCTGTGCGCAATTTGTTTACAAAACACAGTCAATTCATTTTACAGTATATTCTGTGAAGCGCTTTGAGATGTCTCAACGATGTGATAAGGAGCTATATCAAATGCCAGGCTTATTTAATTGGGTAAGCATTGAAAGGGGATTGGTGTGAAAGAGGTACAGGCGTAGAGAGGGATTGGAGCTCTCTGGGTTGTGGGTTCAGTGGGGAGCTGGGACTAGGAAGGGCTGGTTGTGCCCAAGTGTGTCTACGTGTTGCCAGGATCTGCATAGAGGCACCCAGCGCCCTGTAATGGGAATCCACATCGGAAATAGGGGCCAGCGTCCAGGACACAAGAGGAACTCCACTCAGACTGCGTTCCGGACTGCTTTCTACTGCAGGAACTCAGGCAGGTTAGTTACCTGATCAAGTCTCTGTTAACAAAGGGAGAGAGTTCATGCTTTACTCATTTCTGCAGTGGGTGAGGTGGGAGGGGTAAGGAAAGCAAAGGAAAGACTCGCAAATGATGTGATGTCAAGCCTCGATGGTGTTGTCCACTAAATGCCCCTCCCCACAATGGGCCGAATGGCCTCCTTCTGTGCTGCAATGAAAACATAGCGCTCGCCTCGCTGCTGTGATTCTATGAAAAGGAAGCGCGTTTTTAACAGGAGTATTGTTCATTGCTAATGCAGAGAAGGTCTGTTACATCAGCTGCTTCAGATTTTGCTTGTTCGAAGCATTCTACCACCATTTGATGAAATAATGATCCTTTCTATTTGAGACGGAGCCTTTCATTGTCGGGAGGACGGACGTGTCGAAGTCCTTCACAGGACTTTACTGATATATATATATATATGTGTGTGTGTGTGTGTATCACCTCTCAGCAAACACTGGCCTGCTTCATGTCCCCACCATTGGTGGTTGAGTTCTCATCCATTCTACCACCGCTCTCCGGAACTCCATCTCAGTCCCCATCTTCCCCCCACTCCCCCAACTCACTTGCTCACTATCTCTCAAGACAGGTCAGCGGGTCTCAAAACGTTCCTCTCTCACCACGCTTTTGATCATCTTTCCTCCCCCACTGTCCCCCTCAGCTCTCACCCCCAGTTCGGCTGCCCGCAGAGCTTTGTGGGAGCTCTTTGAGGCGTCACCCCCAATGTGAAAGGCGCTGTATAAGTCCTGGAGCGTATTGGTTAGAGCACTCACAAGCGAGAGGACCCAGGTTTGTTTCCCGAGCAGGTTGAAACCTTAGGCAAGTTTTCTTACTCCACACGCCTCTGTTTACCTAGCAGTAAGTAGAAACCCGGTTTGTTAGTCTATTGGCAAATTATTTTCTGTGGTAAATCCACGACTGTTTGTTGGATACAGCTGTGTGCAATTGGCTTCTGCGTTTCTCTCACAAAATACACAGTTAATTCACTTTACAGTATATTCTGTGAAGCGCTTTGAGAGGGCTCAATGACTTGATAAGTCGCTATAT